TTTCAAGGATTTTGCTCCTGCCATTACCCCCTAACCATGTAGCATCAGAGTCAGTGTCTCTTCTTCCACTAATATTTCCATCAGCAAACGAGCATGCTCCAGTATCTCCTATCTCAGAGGGTGAGAAAAAGATATACCCCTGTTACTGACTATATCCTCCAAAATAGTGTGTTGTAAATCTTAACCTCTATGCTTGTGGTTAAAATCCCATCTGGGAAGCAGTAAATGCTGTAACATACATAATCCTGCAATGATAATAATAATAATTTGTGATATTTACACAGATAAATATGTATGCTAATAGGTAAGAGGTCAAATGGCCTGTGTAAGTAAAGGTATCGTATGTATTACTGCATACATATTGTAAACTCTGGCTGTATATGCTATATAAAATAGGATACATAGAAACTACTTAGACATTGGGACTGAACTACTGGACCTGAAGGCTTAGGACCACAGTTTCAGGGGACATCTAGGTCAACTGGCAAAACACAGTTCATAAAGATAATGGTCTACATCCTAGTTGGGTGAGTAGCATCTAGTGTCTTAAAAGCCTGAGAACAACCATCTAAGAAGAAGCAACTACTGTTCTCTTCCTGGCTGAAGCAAAGGAGAATGAAGAAAATCAGACTCAAGGATGCAATTAGTCCAAAGTACTAATGGCCCACACGAATCACAAAATCCTCTAACCTGAGACCAGAAGAAGCAGAGGATGCTCGGCTATCACTACCATCTACATGGACCAGACTGACTAAAAGAGAAGATCCCAGTTAGATTGGGTAAAAAATGCAGAACAAAATTCAAAAAAAAAGGACCAGACTTACTTGTCTTAAAGAGATGGGAGGAACCCGAGACGGTTGCCCTAAGATAACCATTTAACTTGAAACTGAAGATACTCCTGGATGTCACCTCTCAGCCAAATAACAGACAGGCCTATAAAATAAACATTAACACCTGTGAAGAATGTGCTCCTTTAGATGTGCTTCTTAGAACCACAGGAGACCAAAAGGGCAGCATGTGCCCCAAACCAAAGATGAGAAAGCTGGGAGGGACGGGAAACCAGATGAATGGGAGAACCCATGGAGGAACTGATGTGAACTTTCACCTAAAATTTAAAAAATAAAAGAATCATCCCCCCCACAAACCATTTGGGAGTGGGTTGTCTTTGTTATGGTAATAAGGCTTGATTACTACAGGGTGTGTTTTGATTCAATCTCTCACAAAATATAAAAGGAGCACATTAAGGAAGCAGAGATGGGGGAAGAGAGATGCCAAGGCACATGCAGATCGCCCAGGAGCAGAAGCTCAAGGGGACAAAGACCTTCCTCCAAAGCTGACAGAGACAAAGGCTTCCCTTAGGGCCGCACCCTGGATTTGGACTCTTAGCTTCCTAAACTGTGAGAAAATACATTTCTGTTGGTTAAAGCCATCCATTTGTGATATTTCTGTTATAGCACCACCAGAGAACTGACTACTCCCCTTGACTCTGCCCCAAACATTTCCAACTGTGTTCAATTGTTCTGATCCCCTAATAGGAAGATTTAATTTAAATGACTCTTGTCAAGACCAAGGACCTACATTATCGCCAAATTCAATGATTACTTATGGTTTGACAGGATTGAGCACCTTCTCCTTGACACCCTTCCTTTCTAGGCTTCCATGAGCTCAGTCTCCTCAACTGGCTCCTCTTCAACTGTATGACATTCTGGAGAACCCCAGGGTTGTCTTGCTCACCCCTTCCCCCCAGTACCTTCTCTTCCTTATCTACAATCTCTTCCAAAATAATTTCATCCAGACCCATGGCTTTAATTACCAACTGTATGCTAATTTTTTCCCAACCTGTATCTATAGCTTCCAGTGCTCTTACATTCAATTGTCTACTCAGACATCTTGATCAAAACCAAACTTCTGATCTTTACTGTCAAACCTCCTCTTATAGTCTCCCACATGTTAGTAATAACTCCATCTTTTCAAATGCTTAGGTCAAAAAACTAGCAGTCTTTTTTTCCCCATTAACATTCCACAGTGAATCCATCAGGAAATTTGACTCCTGCTACCTTCAATGGTTAAGTACTCAGCTGCTACCTGAAAGGTTGGCAGTTCAAACCCACCCAGCAGCTCCTAGGGAGAAAGATCTAGCAATCTGTCTCTGTTCTGGGGCAACTGCACTGACACATGGGGTCGTTATGAATCAGAAATGACTTGATGGCACCCAACAACAACAACAGTTTTAAAATATAGGAGTCCCTGGGTGACACAAACGGTTAAACACTCAACAATTAGCTGAGAGGTTGGCAGTTTAAACCCACCAAGAGATGCCTCAGAAGACAGTCCTGGTGAACAGCTTCCAAGGGGTCACAGCTTTGAAAATCCTACGAAGCATTTCTATTCTGCAACACACGGGGTGGGGTCACCATGAGTCAAAATCAACTCAATGACAACTAACAGCAACACCTTCAAAATACATCCAGAACTGGAGCACATCTCATTACCTTTACTTCTTCCTCCTCAATCCAAGCCACCACCGTCTCTCACCCATATCACTGCAAGAGCTTCCTAGACTTTCTGTTTCTGCCCTCGGAACATAGCAGAAGTTCTCAAATTAGATCATAGCATTCCCCTGCTCAAAACCTTCCCATCTCAGAGTGAAGACTCAAGTCTTTTCCTAGGCCAACAAGGTTCTATAGGATCTAGATCTATCCCTATTACCGCCCTGAAGTCTGTCCTGCTCCTCTCACCCTCCACCTCTTTGCTCCAGCCACACTGGTCCCCTGCTATTCTGACATCCAGACAAGCTCCAACCCCAGGGCCTTTGCACCTGCATTCTCTAGCTGAAACACTCCCGCCTCCTTCAGTTCTTTGTAAAATGTTTTTTCGAAGAGGCATTCCCTATCCACTCCTCCCCACCCAGCACTTTCTGTATGCCCCGACCATGCTTTATTTCTCATCATAGCTGTAACTATCATCCCACGTATTATATGTTTTACATATTTATTGTTTATTTGCCAATGTAAGTGCTATGAGCAAAGGGACTTTTGTCTGTTTTGCTCACCACTGATTCCCCAGCACCTTAGGACCTAACATCTGATGTGAGGACTACTATGTACTTTTTAAGTACAGTCATGTGTCACTTAATGCTCACCATATGTTCTGTGAAATAGGACATTACGTGATGTGGACATTGTGCAAACACCATATTGCAGTCTGGTCCTGCTTTTTCTTTAAGCATCTCAAACAAGCTTCATGCCTTAGCAGTGATCATCAATGCACTGAGAGGGATTTGCTTTTGTCGTTTGGTTCTAATTCCATGTCATTAGCAATTTCTGATACAAAGCTCTCTCTCATTTCATTAACCTTGTAGCTTTCAGTGGAGTTGATCCTTTAACAGCGTGGAGAATTTTTTCTGTTTTTGAGGATCGTGCTTGAGTGCGACATGCCTAAAAGCATAAGCAATAGCGTTCACCGACTTGCCAACTTTGTGTTGTTTAATAACTTTTTGTATCACTTCCGTATCAGTACTTCTTCTTTGCCTCTTACTGGTGCTATCATTAGCACTACCTTTGCTGCGTTTGGAAGCCAAGACACACTTCATAGTAATTATTTTTGAGAGAGATCCGTGATAGGCAAGATTGGAGGCCACTGCCTATGAGCTGAAGTCTACACTGTTATCCAATAAACTTTAGACAAAAAGTACAGTACATACATAAGCCAGTAACACAAGCATTTATTATAACCATCAAGACAAATGTCTTACAGGTTATATGTGTACTGTACCATTATATGCCTGGCAGCGCAATCATTACACATACAGGAGACACAAGACACACATGTTGAATGCTGGAAGCTGTTGCATTGGCGATGTCTCTTCTCTGACTGGGATTTCTGAACTCTCTCATAACTTTATGGGACCACAGAAGTATATGCCATTAGATGCTGGTAGAAGGATGTTGTTATGTGGTGCAAAGCTGTATTTATTAAGAAAAAAAAAAACTAACCAGTAATATACTACTGCCAAAACGGACTCCTCCTCATCTCTGTATGTAAATGTCATTCCCTAGGTTCCTAACCAGTCTCCAGCATCCATTTTCCTTCTAATCTTTTTTTCTTCAGTATCCATTCTTGTTCCCTACAATCTGTTTTCCACAGCAGTGGAATAACCTTTTAAAATCTTTAAATCCAACCTTTTTTTTTTTTTTTTTTCTTTTAACCCAATTTCCCACCAAACCAAAAAAAACAAACCCACTACCATCAAGTCGATTCCAACTCATAGTAACCCTCAATGGGTTTCCAATGCTGCAAATCTTTAGGGGAGTGGACTTTCTCATTTAGCAGCTGGTGGGTTTGAACCAATCTTCTGCTTAGCAGCCAAATGCCTTAGCCACTACACCATCAGAGCTCTTTCAGATTCCCATCACTCACCATAAAATCCAAACTCCTTATTCAGATACTTTTCATACCATTTACCCATCACCCACTAGATCCAACCTGACTTGCTTTCCCCACCTCCCTTCTCCAACCCAAACTAGATCAATGCATCCAGATTTGTGCTATCTGGCTGGAATGTTCTGTCCCCATCTCTGCACGGCCAGTTCTTTCTAGCCATTCAAAGGTCGGTTTAAATGTCACCTCCTCAGAGGGGTCTTGTCTCTACCCAATCACTATCCTGTCACCGTTTTTAATGTCAGCACAGTACGGTTACGTGTGGACTTTCTTTTTCATTGCCTTTGTTCATCTGCCTAGAATCTGAACTCCATCAGTGCAGGGCGCCTTGCCAGAGCCGGCCGCTACATTCTCAGTGCCCAGCAGAGTGGCTGACCCATACACAGTAGGCGCTCAATGAGTATTAAAGGAATGCATTTGCTCAGCGCCTGCTCGGCCCATCCACAGACACTGCCCTCCCCACCTTTTCCTGCCCCGTTCCAGATGCTGTACAATCCGATCCAACCAGCATTTTCACCTCCAGGCACCGCGCCCTCCGCAACCCGACCTCCCTCGCCTACCTGTCGGCTAACTCTAACACCTCGTGCACACTGCCGGTGCTGACGCGGATCCTCCCGGTGTACATGTACTCGATAACAGCTTCCACCGTGTCAGGCTCGGGCCCGGGCTCCGAGCTCCACTTGCGCATCTCCACTCGGCCCGAGCGGGACTCGGAAAACTGGCCCGAGAGTAAGGGCGTGAAGTACTCGGTGGCGGCGGCCAGCACCGAGCGGTGAGCCCGGAACTCGCGGCCTCCAGCACCGCCGAAGCACAAGGTAATGTCGCAGAAGAGGCCTTGGCGTCGCTGCTCATTCTGTCTCCAGGACAGCTCCGAGCAGTGAGAGCTGCACTCGAAGTCCTCGGCCTCCGGGCCGGGATCTCCCCCGCTCGCCTCCATTGCAGATATTCCAGGCCCAGGCCCGAAGTCCACCGTGCCGCTGCCTCTGACTTCGGCTGCCAGCCCTGCCGAGCCGGCGGCAGCCGTCTCCATGCTTTCCATCTCGAGCACCTGAAGAGATGCAGCCGCGGCCGCTGCAGCCGCAGCTGCTACCGCTGCCGCCGCCATCTTAACGCCGCCGCGCCCGACTCCGCAGTCTCAGAACGATCGGGCAGTTCTGATGCTACACAGAGGGATTCTGGGATTATAGTGGGCGCGGGGCGGAGCATGCGCGCCGCTCCCTTTCCCAAAATTCGATCCGCGTTTGATACCGTTTGAACTTAATCCTCTCCCAGTTATGATTACAGGCTGTCCCTGCGTTACTAACGTCCTATTTACGTATAGTTTACGTATGGTTTCTTAGTTACAAACCACCCTACGTAAAGCTTACTATATTAAGTATTTAGGGTATGTCCAATGCTTCCCAACAACAAACAGGACGCTACTTTGGGATCCCACCAGCCACTCCTCGGAAGGAAGGTTGGGCAATCCTACTTCCGTAGTGATACTGCCTCGGAAACCCAAAAAGGGGTCGCTATGAGTCGGGGTCGACTCGACGGCACATAACAACAACAACAACAACTTTGGGATACGCAACAAAACACTACACACTGCACTCCACTCCCCAAAATTTCCCTAGGTTCCCACCCCAGGTCTCAATGGGAGGATGGATTTTTTTTCCTCACTTTAGTAAACAGCATGCACTACAATCATTTTTTGGGGAGCTCTGGTAGCATAGTGCCTAAGGCACTTGACTGCTAACCAGAAGGTTGGTGCTTCAAACCCACCAGCCACTCCTGGGAAGGAAGATGGGGCAGTCTACTTCCGTAGTGATACTACCTCGGAAACCCAAGGAGGGGTCGCTATGAGTCGTCGGACTGGATGGCAGGTAACAACATCATTTTGTATGCAAAAGCCTTCTTAAACACATCAACCGTTGTTACCATCGTGGGTGGTAATATAGGATTTGATTCCAAATTATTTAAAATAGCTTTGCAGTAGTGCTAAAAGGACATTGGGGCAGCATCTTCTGACCTCCTCTGATCTCAAGAGGGGAAATGAGTCACCATCAATAGCCCAAGCCTTACTCCTAAGAGGCCCGTGGTATCATCCAGCAGCCTTTCCACTAATTCTGCACCAGCCTTCCCTCCCAGGGCACTCACTACCTCTGCTGCGTGGGATAATTTGTTGCAATGGCCATACAGAACTTACAGACAAAACTCACAATTACCGGGTTTATTAGGGAGGTTGTTGTTGTTGTTGCTATGTGCCGTCGAGTCGGCCCCGACTCATAGCGACCCCTCCTTGGGTTTCCGAGGCAGTATCACTACGGAAGTAGGATTGCCCAACCTTCCTTCCAAGGAGTGGCTGGTGGGTTTGAACCACCAGCCTTCTGGTTAGCAGTCAAGTGCTTTAGCCACTATGCTACCAGAGCTTCTATTAGGGAGGTAGCAGGTTATAATTCAGGTTCTAGAACCTGCTCAGCCACAATTCTTCCATCGGGACAGTCTTCTCTCAGCTATGCCCTCTGGCACACCTCTCTGGCCCTTGGCTTCTTGGCCTGACCTCTGCCCTGCTCCTTCAAGTGTTACAAAGCTCTTTTAGCTCTGCTGATAGGTAGACCTACGTGCACCCCACTCCGCTAGCAAGCCTCCTGTCCAAGAACACACAGCTTTTCTCACTCCATGGACCGGAAAGCCCACTACCCTGTCTCCTGCCTCTGGGCTCCACTGTTGCAGTCTCTCACCACCATCTCTCACCAGGGTGTCTCTCTCTCAGCCAAGGTCTAGCGGGTTTGCGAGTCCAAAGACACGCTCCACTTCATCTCCAACTCTTCTCTCTTGATGGCAGTGAGATCTCCCTTCTGCCTCTCAAAAAAACTCACTGCCATCAAGTCAATTCCAACTCATAGTGATCCCCTTTGGGTTTCCGAGACAGTAAATCTTTACCGAAGTAGACTGCCCAGTCTTCTTTCTGCAGAGTGGCTGGTGAGTTTGAAACGTCAACCTTCTGGTTACAAGTCAAATGCCTTAGGCACTAGACCACCAGAGTGCCTCATTCTGCCTCTAGGAAGGCTCATTTTAAGTCTGGCAGACTGACAAAACTAACCAATCCCAACATCAACATTCTACACGTCCCACTGGGCGTGGTCCCACCCAGTGACCTGGTGGGAGTAACCAAGACTATGGCAAGGAAAGCCATACCAAGTAATTGACTGCACAAGTAAACTACTGAAATAAAGTCTTTGGATTGAGCTCCAGCTAAGTGGATGTTACTGTCTCTGAACCAATTTATCTTTAAAAAATGGAGATCCTATCTACCTTGGAATATCTGTATGGGGATTAAATGAGATGATGCTCATGAAGTGTTTGGCACGCTAGATCAATAGCCACCAGAGCTTCCTAAAAGTTATTGTAAAACCTGCTAAAGCCAGAACTACTTAAGGTGGCAACCTGTCAGAACAAAAACTCAAATATTTTCCATTAATAGAAAGCAATTGAATAGTGGCGAGACTGCACCCTCTCAAACATGGAAAACTCCAAGACCCAGAAAAATAAGGCAGTCCCATTGGGTTCCGGCTCTCACAGTTTTCACCGTACTTGTTAAAAAGATGACTAAAGGCCACTTAAGAGTTTTAAGCACAAGAGAGACTCAATCAAATGTTTTAAAAAATGTCGCTAGTGGCTGTGTGGAGAATAGAATGCATGTAAGGGGAGAAAAGTGGAAACAGGGGCACCAGTTAGAAGACCAGATAGAACTAGATGACAGAGATTTAGTACAGGATTTAGCAACCAGATAGAGAAGTAAAGGATGACTCCTAAACTTCTAGCTTGAAGAGCTGGGTAAGCTTTGGTTCCAATTCACTGAAAAAGAGGGAGGTGCAGGTTTGGGGAAGATGATGTGTTTTGATCTTTTTTTTTTGAGGAAGTAGGATGAGCATTTTAAAACTACATATAGTGAACTATTAGAAGCTCTGGTAGTGTAGTCCCTAACTTGACTGTTAACCAGAAGGCTGGCGGTTCAAACCCACCAGCCACTCCTTGGAAGGAGGTTGGTTAATCTACTTCTATAGTGATACTGCCTCAGAAACCCAAGGGGGGTGTCTCTATGAATCGGGTCTGACTCAACGGCATGTAACAACAACACAGTGAACTATTAGGAGCTCTGGTGGCGTAGTGCCTAAGGCATTTGACTGGTAACTAGAAAGCTGATGGTCAAAATCCACCAGCCACTCCTTGGAAGAAGACTGGGCAATTTACTTCCATAGAGATACAGCCTCAGAAACCCAAGGAGGGGTCACTATGAGACAGAACCGACTTGATGGCAGTGAGTTTGGTGTTTTTTTTTTTTTTTTTTAATAGTGGACTATTAGGATGCACAGTTAAAAGACAGATAAAAGGGTATATATAGATGACACACAAGACATTAGCACACCTTCATTGTTACTATAGTTTATTCAACGAAACTATGATAATACAGAGAGGAGACTGAGTTGGCAGCTGTTCAGAATCTTTGTGAAATAACAGATGCAAACTGGCTAGAGAAGAGTCCTTGCACCCATACTTGAGTAACCAGATAGACAAGTCAGCTGCATAAATACAGAGAAGATAAGTCATTTCACAGCTTTCCATTTTAAACATATGTATGTTACAACTTTACATTTTAAATAGTACTCCACATATCTCAATGGCTAAGGATGCAAAGGTCTCCTTTGACATAAGCAGACTTGGGTCTGCAACATGGAATGTTTCAGTGGGATACTGAATAAACCTCTGACACATACATACAAAAAGATCCTAAAAAAAAAAAAAAAGTCAGATTAACACAATGCTCTTCATGTTAAAGGAGGAAGAAAAGGAAGTGGAAAAACAAGGTATTAGGGGTGCCTTACATGTAGTATCTTGAGGTCTTAAAAGTTTCAACTCCTTTCTCTAAGGGAAAAAAAAAAAATTTAACTAATAGAAAAAATGAAGCAAATATGCCCTACAACGAGGAAGAACACTATCCTGACAGTGCTTAGATGCTTCCACATAATAAATACAGCAGGTAGCAGAGCAAATGTCACAAGTATTGGCTTAATTCTTATTTCTATGCTTATAAAAAAAATATCAAGCTTCTCTGTGTGGCCTGAACGGAGCTGGCTGTGGGAGTTGTGTCTCCGGTGCTGTTTACATTCTGGGCCCACCCTCTAGCAGGCTCCAGTGCCAGCTGCCTGCAACTCTCTCCCGGAGGAGGAGGGCTTGCCTTCATTCTACTGCAGGAGTCCTGGCTCAGTTACATGCTCATGTGTTCCGGAAGAACATACGAAATATCATCCCATGGATGACGGTACAGCCCCTGCTTCAGCCTCTTCTGATCAAGGTAGTGTCCTAAAATGGACGAAATGTATCTTTTAGAGTTTGCAAAAGTCTGGCCAGGAGGAGAGGGTACAGAGGGGATATCGTTCGAATACAAAAAAGGTAGGTACAAAGAAAAAGGGAAGTAAAATCCAGACCAATTCAATAGGTAAATCAGACAGCCTGGGTAGTAGGGAACTGTTAGATTTAATTCCATTTTCCTGGGCTAGCAATTGAATTCATTTCTAAGAACAAAGATAAAGATAAGGGGAAGTTAAAGAAAGAAAGGGAAGATTAAGAACAAAGATGAAGCAGAGATGACTGAAACTCACTACGTGGACAAGCGGTGGACAAGCGGTGTAGCTGAAAACTGTGGGGCAAAAGCAATCCCTTACAGCAACAATGAACTCACCGATGAAGCCCATACTCCTTCCGAGCACAAAGATGCCATTGAGGGCTCCAATGTCAATATACTCATCAGCTTCCTCCCTGCAACACAGGCAACTGGTAGTGTTATGTTGGTCACATGACTGCCCTCTTCCTTCTGCCCAGGAATGAGAGCTCTCTGGTTTCAAAGTAGAAGGGAGAGGTGCTCTGGGTGGTGGGGTTAGAGGCAGTTTTTGTTTTCTTCTTTACACCTCTGTGTTTTCTAAATCCTCTATAATGAACATGCATAACACGCGGCACTTTTATAGTCAGAGGGGAACATCAACAACAAATCAATAATCGTTACAAAGGAGAAAAGGGCCATGAGGCTCACCGAGTGAAGGACCCACAGTTTCTGAGCATGTCTACAAATGCAACT